ATCGAAACAGGCCGGCCGACCAGCTCGCTGACGCGGTTGATATAGCCGATTGCGTTCGCCGGCAGATCGTCCATCGACCGCACGCCGGTGAGGTCCTCGCTCCAGCCGGGAAGCGACTCGTAAACCGCCTTCACACGGCGGAGGTCATCGACGTGGCTCGGGAAGACGTTGGTCTTCTTGCCGTCGAGTTCGTAGGCGTTGCAGATTTTGATTTCGTCGAAACCGCTCAGTACATCGAGCAGCATCACGGCGATCGCATCGACGCCGCCCAAGCGAGCCGTGTATCGCAGCGCCACCGTGTCGAGCCAGCCGCAGCGCCGCGGGCGCTTGGTGACCGTGCCATACTCGTTGCCCTGGTCGCGGAGCTTCTGGCCGTCGGCGTTGTCTTGCTCGGTGGGGAACGGCCCGCCGCCGACACGCGTTGAGTACGCCTTCACGACGCCGAGCGTGTGGTTGATGTACCGCGCGGGGAGGCCCGAGCCGTTGGGGATGCCGACGCCGCTCGAGTTGCTGCTGGTGACGAACGGGTAGGTGCCGTGGTCCACGCCGAGCAGCGAGCCCTGCGCGCCCTCGAAGAGGATCCGCTTACCCGCTTCGGCGGCGGTGAGCAGCATCTCGGTTGTGTCGCAAACATGCGGCCGCAGACGCTCGGCGAAGGCGAGGTACTGGTCCGCGATCGCGGTGGCGTCCAGCTTAGGATCGGCGCCGCCCGACATCGCGGTGATCACCGGCGTCTTCGCGGCAACGATCTTCTCCACCGTCGCCCGAAAGTCATCACGGTAGAGGTCGCCCATCCGCACGGCGTGCGAGCGACCGACCTTGTCGCGGTAGCAGGGGCCGATGCCACGCTGCGTCGTGCCGATGTTCTCGCCGTCGGACGTGTTTGAGTCGAGCGCGCGGTCCTCGGCGAAGTGCCACGGCATGATGACGTGGGCGCGGTCGCTAATCTTCAGGTTCTTCTCGAGGCCGCGGACGTCACGGCTGGCGAGCTCGTCGAGTTCCTCGATCGCCTTCGCCGGATTGATGACGACGCCGCCGGTGATGACGCTGGTCACGCCTTCGGTGATCACGCCGCTAGGCAGCAGCGACAGCTTGTAGACCTCGCCGCCCACCACGACGGTGTGGCCGGCGTTGGCGCCCCCTTGGTAACGGACGACAAAGTCGTGCCGGGGGGTGAGCAGGTCCACCAGTTTCCCCTTGGCCTCGTCCCCCCACTGCAGACCGATAACGCAAACGCCAGGCACGGGGGGATCTCACAGAAAGGACGCGGGGGAGGGCAAAAACCAGCCCGGCATTTTCCGCCCCCGCCCCCGAGCCGTCAACCAGCCGAAAAGCGTTCCCGAACAATGGGGAACCGCCAAGACGCCAGCAGCGCCAAGGCTCGCCAGGACCCTAAATAGGTCGTACCTTCAACGAGTTGCTGCGAGCCCTCGACGCAAGTCGGGGGAGTGAAGCGGGTACCCGATTTCCTCCCCCAGCTCGCGTTGGGGGCTCGCCATCAATCCGTTGGATAATGCGAATGCGGACGGATGTAGTAAGGGTGGGACGGCCGGAAGACATACCAAATCAGTGCTCCAAGTGGCCACGGTGGGAGTAGCGCCACGAGCAGAGCGACGAGCACTGGCGGCTTCCCACGCCCCCGGGCGTCACGGTAAGCCCAGACAATGCTCCACACATACGCGATTAGTAATGGAACGTAGAACAGCAGCATGAGTGCGAACCCAGCACATTGTTCGAGCGAGTCCGTCATCTCGGTCTCCTCCGCATTTGGAGAAAGTAATAGGTTCGGAGATCAACTCCATCTATGACTGCCGATTGACGCGGATGCCTATCAGCGTTCATCTGCGGTTCCAAGCCCTTACTCGATCACCAAGTCGTAAGGCATCACGAGCCCCATCGGCTCTTTCGCAAAGAGCTGCCGCACCCAGCCCGCGCGCTGGATGGCTTGCTCGAGCTCGGGGAGCACGCCGCCCAGGTCGAGCCTCACACGCACCTCGCGCTGCTCGTCGTTGTCGCCGAAGAGGGACTCGAAGAAGTCTTCGGCTTCGGGGTACGCATCGATCGTGACGTCGGCGTCGGCTTCGAGGCCCGCCAGGGTCTTCGCCTTGGTGACCGCCGCGCGGAGATCGCCGAGTTCGTCGATGAGTTCGAGCCGTTCGGCTTGGCGACCCGTGTAGACGCGGCCGCCGCCGAGTTCCTTGATGCGGTCCTGCGTCAGCTCGCAGCCCGTCGCCGCCTTAGCGGTGAACTGCTCGTAGGTGTCGTCCATCAGCGACTGCAGGACCTCGCGCTCGGCTTCGGTGAACTTTTCGGTGGTGCTGAACAGCCCGCTGTTCTTTCCGCGGGCGATGAGGTCGGTCGTCACGCCGAGCTTTTCGAGCAGGCCGCCGATCGCCATCTTGCCGCCCACCACGCCGATCGAACCGGTGACGGTTGTCGGCTCGGCGAACACATGGTCGCAGCCCATCGAGATGTAGTAGCCGCCGCTCGCCGCGACGTTCCCCATGCTGGCGACGACTGGCTTCTCGATCGTCTGGATCTCGTTCCAGATCAGATCGCTGGCGACCGCCGACCCGCCGGGGCTATCGACGCGGAGCACGATCGCTTTGACTTGGTCGTCTTCTTCGGCGTCACGCAGCGCCTTGACGATGGTCGTCGAGCCGACCGAACTGGACGCGCCGAAGGGGCTTGTCTCGCTCTCGCCCGTCATGATCGGGCCGACGGCATAGACGATGGCGATCTTGTCGCCGCGGCCGGACGATTCCTTGCCGCCCGACGCGATCATGCCCAGCAGCTTGAACATGCCGCCGGGGCCGCTGAAATCGGTGTCGACCTTCTTCTTGCCGTAGTTCTCGACGAAGACGACGTTGTCCGAGTCGTGCCGCTTCTCGAGCTCGTCACGCAGCGACGACTCGTAAGCCAGTCGGTCCACGAGGCCCGCCTCGAGAGCTTGCGACGCGGTCAGCAGGCCGCGGTCCACCGCTTCGATGACGGCGCCTCGCTTCATCGGGCGGTCCATCGCGATCGTGTCGATCATCTGCTCGTACATGTCGTCGATGAGCGACGTCATGTTTTCTTTGACCGCCTTGCTCCACTCGCGGCGTGTGTAGGGCTCAGCGGCGCCCTTCGCGTCGCCGACGTGGATGAAGTCCGCCTTCACGCCGACTTTCGCCAAGAGGCCCTTGTAGAACATCGGCTGCGCGCGGACGCCCGGCAGCACGAGGTAGCCCGACTCGGGCATCACCACCTCGTCGCACGCGCACGCCACGAGGTAGCTCGCCGCCTCGGCTGCTTCGAGCACCGCGACGGCGTGCTTGCCCTTCGCGCGGAAGCGGGCGATCGCCTCGCGCAGCTCGTGCCGCTGTCCGGCGCCGTAGCTGGGGCTGTCAAACATGAGCACGAGTCCCTGGATCTTGTCGTCCTTCGCCGCCGCGTCGATTCGCGCGATCTGCTTCCGCAGGTCGATCGACAGATCGCCGAACGGCCCCGACCCGCCGGGCGACTCGGGCAGCTCGTCGTCGAGCACGAACCAGGCGTAGCGGACCTTCTTCGACTCGGCTTCGGTCTTCTCTTCCTGACGCTTCTTGGCCCGTTCACGGGCGCGCTTCTGGGCAGGGCTCAGTTCTTTCTCATCTTCTTCTGCTTCTTCGGCTGGCTTCTCCTCCGCCTCCGCCTCGTCGTTGTCTTCGGACTTCACTTCGGAAGCTACTGGTTTTGCTTCCGCCGTTGCGGGCTCGTCGGCGATGACGAGCGTGCCGGTAAAGGAGAGCGCGAGCCCCGCGGCGAGGCAGGCGGGCAGGAAGAGACAATGTTTCATGGCGACTTGGCGTTTCATTTACCCCCGGTCAACGACCGGGGGCTGCGGAACTTGAATTGACAAACAGCTTTCGCCGGGCCGGCGGCGATCTTGCCGCCCCCTCGCCCGGTCCCGCTATCTTACCCCACCAGCCGGCGCCGGGGCCCAATCGATTTTCTGCGACCCGGGCGGCGTCAGCCCCCGGAGGAACCTTGGTACCTGGCAACTCCGGGAGCTGACGCTCCCCGGCTCGCACGGAGTCGTTCTGGGCAAGGCAACTTTTCTCTCTGGTTCGGCTCAAGTCCGGCTGCTACGGTCCGCGACGCTGTAATTTCCTGCTGCCCTTTCGCGGAACGGAGTCCGCCATGGCCCTCGCCCGAATCACGTTTGCTATCGCCGCTGTCGCTATCGCCTCGCCGGCCAGCGCGCAGTTCTGGAACCTCTTCGGATCGAAGAAGGAGGAGCCCGCCAAGCAGGCCGCGCCCGCCGCTCCGGCGCACGCCGCCGGCTCGTTCCAGCTGACGCAGCAGTCGGGCCCGTGGCTGATCCTCGCAACGACCTTCTCCGGTGAAGGCGCCGAGGGGCAGGCCCGTGACCTGTGCGCCGAGATTCAGCGGACCCACCGCCTGCCCGCTTACGTCCACGAGATGACGTTCGATCTCACCGACAACCAGCCCGTCGGCCGCGGCGTCGATCGCTACGGCGCCCCGGTGAAGATGCGCTACCGCACCGGCTCGAAGCGCCAGGAATGGGCCGTGCTGGTGGGCAACTACCCGTCGGTCGATGACACAATCGCCGCCCGCGATCTGCAAGCGATCAAGGCCGCCAAGCCGCAGGCGCTGGAGATCGACGAGAGCGGTCACACGAACCAGAACCTCGCCAATACGCGCGTCATGCTCGCCTCATGGACCGAGAAGAACGAGCAAGGCGGACCGATGCGAGCGGCGTTCATGACGCGCAACCCGCTGCTGCCCGACTCGTACTTCGCGCCAAAGGGCGTCGATAAGTTCGTTGAGAAGATGAACAAGGACTTCGATCACTCCGCGCTGAAGATCCCCGGCAAGCAGACGATCCGCGTCGCCACGTTCCGCGGCCGCGGCACCCTCGTCGGCGCGAGCCAGTCGCGCAGCAGCAAGTCGCGTCGCAAGAACGCCGAGACCGATCCGCTAATGGAGGCAGCCGAGAACGCGCACCTGCTCTGCGAAGAGATGCGGCGTCAGGGCTGGGAGGCCTACGAATTCCACGACCGCACCGAGAGCTGGGTCAGCGTCGGCTCGTTCGACAACGTTGTCGACGCTAACGGTCAGCCGCACCCCGACGCGGTTGAGATCGTCCGCACGTTTGGCGCCGCTCACAACACGTCGCCGACGCCGCTCGACAAGCAACGCAATGCCCCCGCCGAGTCGGCCCGCGCCGCGGAGGTCAAGCAGCAATTCAACTCGCTCTTCAGCAGCGAGGTTGGCCAGATCGCCAGCGGCATGAACCCGAAGTACGCCCAGGTGGCGTTCGAGAAGGGCCAACCCCCGCGTCCGATCCCTTTCGACGTCTACCCCGAGGCGATCGACGCCCCAAAGAAAAGCGTCAGCAGCGGCTTCGCCTGGCGCCCGTAGGGGAATTGGTTCTGGGTAAGGAGGTAGTGGGCATGTTAGTGAGAGGGGGATCGCAAGCGAGCGGCAATGCCGAACGCGATCTCGGCTCAAAACACTGGGCAGCCTTTTCTCTTGTGCCATTGGAGATAAAAAATGCAGCCGCTCCGCGGACGCCTGTTATCTCCAAATGGCCCTATGACAATCTCACTACGTCGCTAAGAGCAGAAGGTCGTTACCCCTCTGCCCGGTCGCTTGCGACCCCCCCTATCACCAACATCCCCCTATCTCCTTCTCCGAGATCGTCCACTAGAAGCGACGCATCGGCTGCCCTAAAACGGGCCGCATGAAGGGCCCCACGCTCGTTATCGGTTCGCGCAACGCCAAGAAGCGTGATGAGCTCGTTGGCTTGCTAGCGCCGCGGGGGATCGAGGTGAAGACGCTCGCCGACTTCCCGGACCTCACGCACGAGGTGGAGGAGGACGGCGACTCCTTCGAGCACAACGCCCGCAAGAAGGCGACCGAGTACGCCAAGGCCCTCGGCCAGTGGGTGCTCGCCGACGACAGCGGCGTGTGCATCGACGCCCTCGGCGGCGCGCCGGGCGTTTACTCGGCCCACTACGCCGGCAAGCACGGCGATGACGCCGCGAACAACGCGCTGGTGCTCGAGAAGCTCGCCGACCTGCCGCCCGAGAAACGCGGCGCGCACTACGTGGCGATGCTCGTGCTCGCCGACCCCGAAGGCTCCGTCCGCGCCGAGACCCGCGGCGAATGCCACGGCCGCATCCTTACCGAGCCGCAC